TGGACAATGCCACCTTAAATCATTTTTTTAAAAACCAAGGTGGTAAACAGTTATGTTCTCTCAAAATGCGAAATTTTGAACTTCCGTTTAAAAGGGCATTTTGAATAGCCAGAATATCGACTTCTGTGATGGGAAAGTCGCTTTGTTGTTTTTGATAAAAAAGCATAAATCTTATTTTTTTAATGAGATGTTGAATCGAACAAGGGGTTTCCTTTATGTTTTCCCAGTAGTTCGCTTTTCCCCTTTCCGAAAAGGGTTGGGGTGCTAAAAAACCCTTACTCTTCATCGAAGTAAGATTATCTTCCTTCTTATTCTCATTTTCTTTCAGCTTGTCCTCCACTCCTCTTATATATTATTTTTTGTACTATTATTTCTATAAAAATATCAATATATGATGTTGACATAATTTAACCATAACCGTTCAAGTAGGAGAAAAAGAAAAAAAAAATTAGGAGGGTTGAGAATTTTCCTCCTCATCATAAATTCAAAGAAAGAAATGGTGCCACTCTGTCAGTGGCAAACAGCAAACTAGCTCGGCCACCAATGGCACAATCTCAGGAAGCACGTGCTCATGTGATCTCTTCCAGTATATACAAGTAACAATGAATAATAACATAAATACGGCGCTAGGGTTTTGCATGAGACGTACACTTAATAGGAGCATTCACAGATTGCCGCAGTAGTAAAAAGTAATCATACATATGCATTTGGTCCGCGTTATATTCTCACTTATTCTTTTTTTTTCTTTAACAACTAATAATTTAACTCATTAACATTATAATTAATATAAAAAAAATAGAAACACCCCAATTTTTCATGTAAACAATATAATGTTCTTTGTCCTCCTTCCTCTAATTAGTTCACCAGTCTCTGTAATTACCAAAAATAATCAAATTAATTTCTCCATCACTTGGAGGGGTGCCCGAATTAGCAAATCCTCTTATTCCCATCCATTCTGTTAATTTGAATAATATTATTTATGAATACTTTTTAAGGAAAAATAATGAAAATAGTTTGAAAATTTTGAGTTTTAAATATAAGGATAAAATAAAGAATAAAGTAAATAATATCAGGATTAACTTTTTAATGTAAAAATATAATTTTTCTTTTTGTTAAAATAAACAATATCGAGAATTTTTCGTTAAACCTCTTAATTTTTATAGAATGCAACTATGCATGCCAACCCTGATCACGTGGTCCCTTTGACCTGTCGATATCGCCAGCTCATTCACTTCGTCTGCTCTTTGCCCTGACGCTGTACTAAGTTTGGCCACTCATTCATTGTCCTCCCTCCTTCCATTCTGATTTCTGAGGCTCATCTTTCTTGGCCCCAGTTTTCATCACCTTTTTCTGTGATTCATTTTTTTAATTTTTTTTTTCTGGTTCTGAGGGTTTAGGGTTTTCACATTTTTGCTATCTCAGCAAAACCTGCATCCATGCTTTTGCATTATCAATGCTGCATACCCTTCTTGTGAAATCCCTGATCCTGCCAGCCTTTGCTTCCAAGATCATCACATCCAAGAAAAAAAAATATATGTTATTTGATTAATTAGAAAAATTATTTAACAATGACTCATAAAATTATCCTACACCAGACTGCAGCATATCCCTAATTACCCTCTTTTTTTTTTCTTTTTTTTTTGTCGAAACTGTTTAAAATCTTCTACTCTTAAAAAATTTGATCACTTTCTGAGAACCTGTACTATTTGTACCTATACTGTTGTTCATTTGTAAATTAGATTTTCATTGTTTAACCCAAAGGACAATTGCTTAGAATCTTCATGAGATACAATATTAACATACATTATATATACACGAACAGTTTCGATTATAAATTTATAAGATTACATCGTACAAAGTGATTGGGGTCGTATTAAATTATCAACTGAGTCTTCGTAAAACTAGGGTTTGATATATGATTGGTTAGCGAGTTTTTGTTTTTTTTTTTTTAACCCAAGTCCAAAGTACTGGAATAAAAAAGAGTAAAGTGTGCTTCTTGGCAACTTCACCCACATCCAAGGAAAGCAGTGAAAACATTGGAGACTGCGTCCTCCTTCAAGATTTAATAGGTCACCGTTCAATTTATCATGTCATGACAAAACCCATCACATCAGGCATGCATGCATAAAAATATGTACAAAAAAATTAAAAAAATCACCATATCAGATATAAATACACGCATATGCATGTTGGGTTTTGACTTGTATTTACAAGGGGTTGTTTTGAAATCTGATGGCAGCCTGCTTAGAGATGTACAACTCATCAGAGCATAAGTATAAGTTTGCTCCTCCTCTTCCTCCTCCGATGAGCCCAAGAATCTCCTTCTCCAATGACTTTGCAGATGCCATCCACCACGAAATCCGGAGGGAGGTGGCGGCTGCTCCGCCTGCTGTCTCCTCAGATTTTGAGTTCTCTGTTTCCAACTACTCCATGATTAGCGCTGATGAGCTCTTCTCCAAGGGCAGGCTGCTGCCCTTCAAGGACGGCTGCAGCAGCCAGACGCGGAGGAGCACCACCACTCTCAGAGAAGAGCTGCTCCATGGGGAGGATCACGATGATGATGTCTCGTCATCCAGGCCGCCGAAGGGTGCAAGGTGGAAGGGGCTCCTCGGTAGGAAGAGTAGGTCCCACATTGTGTGCAAGAAAGCTGAGAAGAGTGACGGAGATGGCAGAAGGTCTGGACTTGCGGTGGTTCATGAGGAAGCTCAGCATCATGTTAATATTAAGACATCGCAGGTGAGAGAGAATTAAACTTTTCATTACACCCATTTTGTCCTTTTTAATTTTGAGTTTTATATAACAGGTGTGGGTTAGCTCAGTTGGCCGAAAACATAATGGTTTAGCTAGGTCAGCTAGCTACCTCTTTGCCTCTGAATTCGAATCTGCTCTCCTTTAATTCTAGTAATTTAGAATATCACTTTGTCGTAGAAAAAAAATTTAAGCTTTATATGACATGGTGGTGGTGTTATTTTTTGTTGCAGGAGGTGTTGGACGAAGGAGGGTCAAGTTGGAGAGATGTGGAGATTGGAATATAGAGGGGTATGCTGATGAATTTGTAGAGGTGTGGGGAGTACTTTTTGTCTTTTTTTTTTTTTTACCTCTTGAAGGCTTAGAGAGAAATTAAGGAGGATGATTATTGTTACTCTTGTATTTTTACAGCTGGTTTTTGGGTTAAATTTAGAGGGGTTGTGGTTTCTGTTAGTGATTGATCGTTTTTAATTAGGTCTCTCTAATTATTTTCTGGTGTATTTTGATTTCAAAGTTTGATCTGTTTAGTTTTTCAGGATTGGAATTTGGTATTTTTGGCTCTTCATTGTACAAAAATGTTTGCGGTTGAAGAACCTTTATGCAAATCAAATGTCAAGCTCTTGTTCCTCGTATTTTTGGGGGTACTCCCACACCTTAATTTCATAGGGAAAATGATTAGTTTTTCATAAAGCACACTTTTTGTATTTCATTTTTGACATATTCAATCCGAATGCAAATTGGGAATGAGAAATTCACTTTCCTAATTATATAAATGGGGCTTAATTACACCGGTGTTATTGAATTTGTACTCATGGTTGATCAATGTGTTAGGCAACAATGTCTAGTTATATATATCAAAAGGGGATTAATTATGACATTGTCCTTAATTTTGTACTCGTGTTTTACTTTATTTCTTCAATTCAGTTTTCAAATTTTATGGTCCTTGCCTTACCTTGGGTCCCACTTTAGCTCATTTGTGTCAAATTTTTCACTAGTTTCGACCATTTTATTACGTCCGAATTAAGAAATAAGACAATTGGATTGACCATAAATTTCAAAAATTAAATTCAATAACCAAAGTAACAGGGTACAAATTCAAGAACTAATTAACCCTGAGAAGGACCTATAACCAAGTTGCATTGTTGTCAATTTCAGTTTCAAAAAAATTAAAACGAAATAGGTATCAACCCGTCTTTAAATTAGACAACAAAGATCAAAGAAAAAAATGAATAGGAGATGGTATAAATGTGACGGATGGTGCAACACAGCAACATGCAGAGTGCTATAAATGTGACAGGGAAAGAGTCTTCTCTGAATCTCTTCCATTAAGTGATTCAGATTTTTAAAATTTAATTCAACGGTTAAAAATAGAAACTCCTTTTAAAAGTTATAATAATTTTAATCGTTTGATCAAATTTTAATGATCCGAATCACTTGATCCGTAAACTTTAGTAGAAGAAATCTGAAAATGATCTCTTTCAATGTGACAGCCCAGCCATGGATATTGAACCTTTATATATAAATTCTCGTATAGAAAGATACATATACTATCGTCAGTCAGAGGAGGAGGCAGAGGCTGGATCCTGGATCTGGAGAGTGTCACGTGCAAAGCACTAAAGGAGTGGCCAACACAATAAACTGGTCAAAACCCCAACAGGGTTACAAGATTCATGGTCAAAATCTCAAAGATCCCACTGCACCACTACTACTGGACACAGACTGGAGCTATTAAAGCATGCACCTAACTCTCATCAAGAGATCGAGTCCGTATGAAACAAATTTACTCTCATCGTGACATCTCAGATTATTAATATCCAGTTTCTCGTATGTAAGATTTTAAATAAGAAAACATACAAGAAATAATAGAATTAGCTGCTAACGTGCGCATGAGCTTTTATTCTTGCGCGTTTGTGAGACCCACAAAGCAGGAGCAGTCAGAATCAACCACGCAGATGGAGACTCATCGTAGTACTCCTCTAAACCCTAATTATGCAAGGTCTATTACTAATGCGGTTGTTTTTTTATCCCAAACCAAGTTAGAAATGCTTATTGTCATCTCTTTCTCCCCTTGAGAAGAAAAACCCAGGTGCAACGGAAGGCTATATAGCTGTGTCTATCATCCTCTTCATTTGATGAATGACATGAGGAGAGAGATAGACACAGACGATATATACTCTGTTGCATCGGCTTTCTCATAATTGACGTTTTGTAATTATAGAATTCTGAGATGAGGATATGTAATTCAAGGCCTCTAATACTGAATTACTGTAATCTTAATCTGTATTAATAGCTGAAAGCTCTCTTAGCCAAAAAAACATCACATAGCTAAAGTTACTAGTTGCTAGTCGTTTCCAGAACCACACAAAGCACAAACAGCCATCTTTTGGGTCACAGATAAACTACAAGCAAGTACATTGAGACATGAAAGCAAAAAGGGAAGAGGATTTTACACTTCACGGTAGCCTATTTACCAAGGAGCAGTAACCTCTTCCTGGAACTTGAGCGTGTTGATTTCAGCTTTTGATCTCAGGCTCTCAATGGCAGCGCCGAATTCATCGCACGCCTCCCTCATTTCCTCCAGCTTCACTTCGATATTTCTTATTCCTATTCCTGCCTGCGACCGCTCAATTCTAGCTTCTTTGTACATTTTTGCCTCCAATGCAGCTCCTGAGTCGTCGGCTAGGTTTGCAAGCCGACATATCCGATCACGTAAAAATCCAACATTCATGCCCAACAACTCAAAGGCCGTTAAATACTTGTCCCAAGACACAAAATCATCTCGATGTGTAGTGACCTTGCAAGCTTTAATGGAATCGGCAATATTTACAGTTTCAGATATAGCTCCTATAATCAAATTAGGATTCATGCCCTTGATAACATTTTCATGAAGAAACGCTTTCTGGCTGCGGCAGAGCTTGTAGTACTTCTTTCGAACATCTTCGGGGAACTCAGAATCTAGAAACAACCCATCTACTAGAATGTGAAAATTCTCATAACTTCGGATGTCCTCAAATTGAAGAGCTGCGGCAGGTGACTTGAGATCTTCTGAAACTTCTGAACCAGCGTCCTCACTATCGTTTTCAGATTGTTCGGCTCGCTGCAAACCAATCTTTTTCTTCTTTGGAACTACTAACTGAGGAGAATGTGCGCGTTTCCTGATGGAGTCATTACAAGGCGTAGTGCTCGTTTCTGCATTATCTTTATCTGAGTGTAACATCCATGAGAAATGGTAGAAACTTCAATGAAAGTACATCTAAATATAGCATGATTTCATAAATATATACATGTCTTATAAATACATGATACTAGGAAGAAATAAACAGAGAGATTAATGAACTTGCCTGAATCCTTTTGTTTTGTATTATTATCCAAATTTAGAAGGCCAAGAGCCCCATCAACTTCAGCCATACCATTTGACCTTATTATGTAAACCTACAAGATGAAAGAAACTACGGTTACACATAGCAAACTTCCACACTGGCCAAAGAACAAAAGCATACAAAATCTTAACCTGTATGAACCCATTTGGGACACTTTCTTGATTATAATCCAACAGAAATGGTAAGTTGATAAAATGGACAAAATTGATGAGGGAATGTTGCACCCACTTCATCAGAATTTCAAAACACCACAAGGCAGAAATTCAAATAAAGCACTAGTGTTGGTCCTATTCAAGGGATAGGTTTGGGTATAAAAGATTCAAAACATTACCTTAAATTTTGTAAGTTCGACTAATTGGAAGACCAGAACATCTCCCTCGAGTAAATTGTGAGAAGCAGCAAACTGTCTCCAACCAGCACTGAGTCCGGTCTTGCATGCAATGTATTTCAACTGATACTGTCTACCACTTTCATCTTCCAAAGTCATTGTAATATCTTTATCTGGTAAGTGTGATTTGCAGAACAGCGAAGGAAGCCCCTATTACACAGAATACATAAACAAAATATAGAGGGGAAAAGACAAGGGCTTTAACATGTATATACAACTTCTGTTATAGATAATGTTCTCGCTTTCATCTACCGTAGCAGACCTACCATCCAAAAACAACTGGCCACGTGTGATCTGACCAGTGATTTCACGAAGCTAGGGAATTGACGTTCTAGTTTTGATCGAACTTCCTGTGCTCGAATGACAGCAGATGACTTTGCTTGACCTCGTGAGGGTGATCCATCAACTGGAAACTCATACTGTGTATTGCTTTAAAAAAAATTCAGAAGGACAGCATTGTCATGAAGCAAATATGAAGCAAGTATAAAATTACAAACAAAAAGCAGATAAAATATGCCAAAACTGTACAAGATGTTTCACTGACCTAATGGCTGGGGACTTCCCTGCATGACTCAACATCTGCGGTTCAATAATGTGTTAAAACCTTTCATAATTTCCATAATCCCCATTCATAAGGAACAATGCCATTTCATCCATACAACAATTTTGTTCACAGAACAAAGGAGCTTACAAGTCGAACCAGTCAAACACAATCACAACAAGAAGAAACATATAAACTAAATGCATTGCACCATAACAACAGTGGCTTCTCACCCACTACTCCTATCAACTTTCTGATCAATCAAAGCCACTATATGCTTGTGTGGAAACTACATTGTATCGAAAACAGGTAAAGTACGGAAGAAAAAAAACAATTTTTCAATGTTCATGTGTAATTTAAAGCCGACCAATTATACCAAATCACAAGAACTGATCCACAAATTTCGTGTACAGAGGTATCAAAATTAAGAAACCAAAGGTTTAATTTAATTTAGGTTTAAAAGAAATAAAGAGGGGGGAGTCATACCTTTGTAATTTGGGTATTGGAAAGCTCCTTCATAGGCATGGAATGCTCCACTTCCTTCTCGTTCGGCTTGCCTGGCTTCTTCACCTTAGCCTATTCCACAATGCACCATAAACCCACATCAATTTCAATGAAAAAACAGAGAGAGAGAGAGAGAGAGAGAGAGAGAGAGAGAGAGGAAAGAGGGAGGGAAATGGCAGACCGTGGGGAGAGAAGAAGGTTTAGGGTTGGCGGCGGGCTTGGGGCGGAGCCTGGGTTTGGACGGCGGCGTTTGGGGCTTCCCGTCAACCTTCCGAGCCATGGTAAAACAATGCCCGGAGGTGTTTGTGTTTATGCCTGAATCATTTTCTGGTTCCAACAAACCCAAACCAGCCAGATACCATGAGGCTGCCTTCCTGCCTCCTCCCCTCCTCCTTTCCTTTTCCTTCCCCTTTTAAAAAAAATATTTTTTTTTATTTTTCTAAATAAATCTTTTGGTATTTTCATTTTCGTTGTGAAATGTTTGTGTAATTTAACGCTTTCTTCCGTTTATTATACCAAAAACATTAACCAAAAACTGAAAAATTGGAGCGGGCCGTAACCGACACGTGTTTTCTTTGATTTTCGTTGCGCGCGGTTGCTGTTTAGATAAGTCTCCTTTCTTTCCCTCTTTTTTGTTTTGGTAGCAAACTAAAGCGGGCGAGCGCATGATATGACCATCTGTTTGTGTTGAAAAATCTTGTGGGGTTTTTTGAATTTGGGCATGTTGTAATTTGTAAATATTGTGAATATCATTCAATCTTATTTGTGCTATACAACTTTTTTAGAATTAAATTAAGAAATTAGGCGAGTAAAACTACATATCAAAATTTGATCATTCATTTGTATTCTTTTCTTTCAGGTATATTTACCTTCACATGTTCATAACTACAGAAGAGAACGAAGCTCCTATAAAAAAAAGAAAAAAGGCCCTTCGTGTAACATCCCACATCGCACCAGGTGAGTGGATCTTGTAAGCCTTATATGTATATTTTCATCCATACCTAGCACAAGGCTTTTTGAGAACTCACTGGCTTCATGTTCCATCGGAACTCCAAAGTTAAGCGAGTTCGGGCGAGAGCATTCCCAGGATGGGTGATCCACTAGGAAGTTCTCGTGTGAATTCCCATAAACAAAACCGTGAGGGCGTGGTCGAAGCTCAAAGCGGACAATATCGTGCTACGGCGTAGTCGAGCCCGAGATGTGGTGGGGGCCGGGGCCAAGATGTAACAATTTGGTATCAGAGCAAATTTCTGGCCAAAAGTGTGCCGACGAGGACGTCGGGACCCTAAGGGGGGTGGATTGTAACATCACACATCGCCCAGGGGAGTGGATCATGTAAGCCTTATATGTATATTATCATCCCTACCTAGCACGAAGTCTTTTGGGAACTCACTAGCTTCAGGTTCCATCGGAACTCCGAAGTTAAGTAAGTTCGGGTGAGAGCATTCCCAGGATGGGTAACCCACTAGGAAGTTCTCGTGTGAATTCTCATAAACAAAACTGTGAGGGCGTGGTCGGGGCTCAAAGCGGACAATATCGTGCTACGGCAGAGTCGAGCTCAAGATGTGGTGGGGCCCGAGCTAGGATGTGACACTTCGTCCCCCAGCACTCCATAACTGCTGCATCAACTGTAAATTTGAACTTAGTTAAGTTGTACAGGGCAATGCACTCTCCTTTATCCACTTAAATTTGAATCCATCCTTTTATAATTTAAATAATTTTAGTGCAAATTATCTTATTGTTTTTTTGAAAAAAAAAATATTATACGAAGTGTTTCTCGTGGACACCAAGGCCATCATTGAGATTTCGGAGGTCCTTTACAAAATTTATAAAACGGCTCCTCCTTAAGATAGTTCCAAAACAAACTTTAGGACTTACTGATTGTAAATTTACAAATATCATTAAATAACAAGTAAAAATACTTACAAGCATAACTGTCACTAAATAATCAAAAGCACTTCAATCTTAAACAATCAAATAAAAAAAAAGCTTAAAAACACTAACTTCAAAGTTTTACTTGAATATATAGCATTATTATGTAATAAATTGAAGAAAAAAAAATCGTTTTTAGGGTCTAGTTATATCGGCACTTCAAATATTTCATTATGCACTTCAAATTTTTATATTTAGAAAAAAAATTTACACTTATAAGGAGTGCACAATGAGATTTTATGCTTATGAAAGCAATTTTTATTTAATTAAGTAGCATTATTATATATAAATTTAGATGGCAACAATTTTTGGTGCCCCTTCAAATTTGAGGGTCTGTGCCATTGCACATTTCGCTCATCTTCAAAGCACCCTCTGGTGGACACCAATATCATACTCAATCACATCACATGGTTCTTGCCTTTCTTATTATAGTTTAGTTGGCAGTATGTAACTTTGTAAGGATGATCTCACAAAAAAACGATTGATTTAAGTCGTTGGACCATATTCTACGTCGTCGAACATGTCATATAACAATGTTGTTTTAATTTTCTTAGAAAAAGATGCCCTTTTTAAAAAGTCACCAAATAAATTGTAGTACAGGTGCAATGACGTAAACATCACATTGACGTTGAACTACTCATTTATCTAAATAAATATTATATCAAAAACCTAAATATTGGTAAACAACAGCAGATTGATTTTGGCTTTGTGCTTGTTCATGCATATAATATGGAATAAACTACAACATAATTACGTCAAAGGTTTGAATAAATAAATAAAAATATTATGTCGAAAGGGTATCTCTTTTTTTTTTAATAAAAGATTTTTAACACGCTATATTAAACAATAATAATAATAGTTATAATTAACCAAAAAAATAAAACTCGATTATTTATCTCTTGCGTGACATAAAGCGTGATGTATTTTGGTAATCCACTGAGAAATTGGTCAGTTGGTGCACCATATCACCATGCAACCTCAAAAAACAGCCGTTGGATTTAAAATCATAGTCTAAAGAATGCAAACAAGTTGCATGGGACTATGGTGTCAGTTGTCCATTGTCACGTCAGATGCTTGCATAACAGAAAATCGGAACGGGATCCCCTTCTCAGCATGGGGATCGGAGCTTACTGAGCAGCTCATCTGGAACTTTGAAATTTGATTCAACGACTACAAATAGAAGACCTCTTTAAAAATTATAATAATTACAGCCATTGGATCCAATTTCAAAAGTCCAGATGGGTTGCTCAGCAGGCTCCGGTTGAGGATCCGGTTCCCAGAAAATCTACATACATCAGGGGCATATTTAATTTGAATGATTGCTCTTGTGCAACATGCTGTCATGAGAAAAGAAATCGAACTCGGAATCTCAAGTGCAACATGCTATCATGATTCGTAATACATGAAAGAGTTTGCTAGTAAACCAACAAATCCAAAAATTAGTTGGCCTCTATTGAATATTCATCCTTTAATTTGAATACGTAGATCCCTTTTGGTTCTAAACATCCTGACTTGATTGGATTCGGTTGCATCTTGGGTTTCCTTGTACTCTTTGTTCTCATTCTCTGTCATCTTCTTGCAGCACAAGTCTCTTTCCCTCCCTTCCTCTTTCCTCTTTCTCTCTCTACACATAAACTGTTAATATAATAACGATATTTCTGATGAATATCTGATAATAATTGAGACTTTTTTCTTCATGGATGGCTTCAAATTCAACAGCTTTCATCCGGGGCATAAATTCGTAAACAAATTTCTATAGGGTTGTTCGAGTTTCGGTTGACAGTCTCTCCGATGCCGATGTTCCTGAATCTCTGGGCGTTTTTTGGTGCGGATTCCCCACAATCTTTCAGACGCTGCCTCAAAATTTTCTATCTGGTTTTTGCATTCGGCTCTGCTCTCTGCCTTGGTGCTCTTAAAAGTACCACCTTTTGCTTTTTAAGATATATATACCTATATGCATATATATTACAAATATACAAATATATATATGAGATGTTTTCTGCTGAATTTACTGGAAATTTTGATGGTGGGTTTTTGGGATTTTGATTTTTTGATCATATACGTTGCAGGTCTTCTGGTGGGACCCATATCTGCACTAATACTGATTTTAGGGAACGTTGGGATAATTCTAGGTTTGTTTCCTGCACATGTTGCCTGGACGATCTACACTCTCATAAAGTTAGTATCTTTCAAACTACTCCTTTTCCAATTTTTTTTTTTCAAATCTAATTTTAAAGAGATTTAAAACCTTTTTTTTGCTTCATAAATGTTTGGGAATTTGCAGGATTCACAGATTTGATGTACCACTTAAAATTGCAATTTTGTTTGCCTTGCCTGGCCTGCTGGGTATATGGCTGGGTTTGAGCATAGCTGGGAGTGTTCTGTTGGGTGTGGGATATGGCTTCTTGACTCCCTGGGTTTCCACTTTTGAGGCCTTTAGGCATGACAACCAGTACAAGAAATTCAAACATTGTATTCTTGTAAAATCCTTAATAGTTTTGGTATTTTTTTTTCTAATTTTTTTGTTTGAGTTAGAGTCGAATTTAGCTCTACTCATTCTGTTTCACTCATGCAACATTGTTAGGATGGAACTTGGGGGACTGTTAAAGGAAGCTGTACTGTAGTTAGAGACTTTGCAGACCTGTGTTACCACTCTTACCCGCTTTACTTGAAGGAGTTGAGAGAATCACCCGCTGCAGAGGAAGTTCGCACTCTAAGGTAATCATGTTGTGATTAGTGACTCGAATTGTTTTGCTTCTGTCATCAAATTATATACCAAACTCTAAATATAAACATTTCAATCAAACTCTAAGGTAACTGTGTTGTAATTAGTGACTCGAATTGTTTTGCTTCTGTCAACCAAATATGTATCCAAAGCCAAGTATAAACATTTGAATCGAACTCTAAGATAACGTGTTGTAATTAGTGACTTGGATTGTTTTGCTTCTGTTGTTAAATTATGTATCAAAAGCCAAGTATAAACATTTGAATCGAATTCTAAGATAATCGTGTTGTAATTAGTGACTCGAATTGTTTTGCTTCTGTCATCAAATTATGTAGCAGTAGCCAAATTTAAACATTTGAAATAGCATTCCCTAAAGCAGCGGTTTTAATCCGAGCTCAATTCTTTTTCGGGGACATATTGTAGGTTGATTCACATTCCAGCATGTATTATAGTTGGCGTGTTGGGGCTTATCGTGGAGATCCCTGTTTACACTGCAATTGCTGTTGTAAAGAGTCCCTATATGCTGCTTAAGGGCTGGTATCGGCTAATTCATGATCTGATTACTCGAGAAGGTCCATTTCTTGAAATAGCTTGCGTCCCCATTGCTGGTTTGACGATCATTCTGTGGCCAATTGTGGTTGTTGCAAGCATCATATTGGCAGTTTTCTCGAGCATTTTAATTGGATTGTATGCATCAGTTGTCGTATATCAGGTTTGCTTACACCAGACTATAATAATAGTAATCTCCTTGGCCTTTCATGATGAGTAAAATTATACATCT